CCCCCCCCCCCCCCCCCCCCCCCCCTGTAAGTGGCTCCGTTTTCCACAATGAACAGTCCTGCGGGCAGGTGCTAGATTCCGCCTGGCCCGTCATCCTGAACCTGTTGCTGTCAGTCGCGAAGGGGGCCACCAGCGCCGCCCCCCCTCCCCCCTCCCCCCAAAAGCCTGCCGCGGTGGCGGCTGCCGCCGAGTCAAAGGTCGGCGACACCGACAACGACGCGGCGGCAGGGGAGTACGATGATGAGGAGGACAGCGGCGCGGCCGACATGAGGCCGGTGGTGTGGGGCGGGGCCTGCCTGTCCCTCGCGTTCAAGTGCCTCCAGCTTGTGGTGGACGACTTCTTGGAGCGGTTGCCGAGGGAGCAGGTGCCCAGGCTGGTCACGTGCGCGGGAGCCTTCGGGGCGCAGACGGAGAGCGTCAACCTTAGCCTCACCGCCATAGGGATGCTGTGGACCGTCTGTGACACCTTCGCGGAGGACGCCACGGCTGGCGGAAACCCGGCCCCGGCGGCCCCGGGGGGTAACAAGGACTTCTTACCGCCTAGCGGAAATAACGTCCCCACTGGGGGGGGAAAGGACGTCCTGCCGCCGCCGCCGTTGTCTGGCCCGTCCTCTTCTTCCTCTTCTTCCTCTGGACACAAGTCCTCTTCTTCCTCTGCGCACAAGGCGAGGCCGTCATTGCGGTCGCTGTGGCCCACCATGCTGTTCCAGCTCAGGAGCCTGTCGGTGGACTTCAGGCCGGAGCTGAGGAACTGCGCGGTGAACACGCTCTTCTCCGCCGCCGTCGGGAACGGCGACGGGTTGAGCGAGTCGGACTGGAAGCAGTTCTTGCAGGAGGTTACCTTCCCGCTGATCGAACAGGTGGGGTTGCTGCCATTTGTCGTGCTCGCGCTCTTCTTGTTGGTAGTATAGTAGTAGTAGTGGTAGTAGTAGCGGTGAGTCTCTGGTTTCTGGCGAGACAAGACGAGACGATCAAGCTTTTGGTCGTGGCAATTGTGCCCATCGAAAACGGCTCTGCCCTCCTTTCTTCTCGCGCCCCCTCTCCGCTGCTCTCCACAAGCAAACATGACATTACGTAGCCTCGAGGGTACGAAACCCCAAATAGAACGAGACTCATGGGAATATGAGAATGCCTCACGACGTGCGTATACCGAGTTTGTGGACGAGAACCCTCTCTTCCCTTGCTCGCGATGGCAGGTGCTCGAGAGCACCAACAGTGCTAGCAGGGGCGCCAACACTGCCGTGGCGCCAGAGCTCAAGAAGGGCGTGCGCATGCTCATGCACCACACCAGGGACACGGACCAGAAGCAGTGGAACGAGACCAGGGTGTTGGCGATGCAGGTAGGTGGCTTAGTGTTGCTACATTGTATGTACTGCTGTTAATAGTGGTCGACTTCACGGTAGGGAGAATCATCCAAGGTAGAAAGAGGGCGGGAAAGCCGACGTACTGCTTCTTCCTGGACGTGAAAAAGGCATACGATACCGTATGGAGAAATGGGCCGTGGAAACAATTGTCCAAGTACGGGATCAAGGGGAAAATGTGGGGAGTGCTGAAGAAGATGACAGAGTGTACGAAAAGCGCGGTCATGCTAGAGGAGAACTGTCTAAATTCTTCGACATTGAGCAAGGGGTCCCACAAGGTTGCACGCTGTCCCCGACATTGTTCCAGGTGTTGATCAACGATCTGTTGGAAGTCGCAGAGGCAGTCCGGAAGGGAGTAAATGTAGGGGACACGGAAACTTCGGTGTCAGGAATGCTGTTTTGGATGATTTTGTTGGTATGTCGGATACCCCTGAGGGACTGCAACTGCAAATTGATGCGACGAAGAAGTTTACTGATAACTGGAGATTGTCTGCCAACGTAAAGAAGAGTGCCGTCATGGTATGCAACGAGGTCAGGGAGGAACCAGTACAATATAGATGGAAGGGATCGAGGAGATTGCAGTAGTGGACCAGTACACATACCTCGGAGTAGAGATCGCAAAAGACTGCTCGTGGAATGCACACATGTCCAAGGTAGCGGAAAAGGGCAAAGCACGAACAGGGAAGCTGCACCCAATACTCGCAAACCGGCACCTCGATACACGCATCAAATTGACGGTTCTGAAGAGCCTAATCGTACCGCCGCTAGAGTACCGCCGGAGAAGTATGGGAAGGAAATAAGAAGGTTGTGAAAGAACTCGAGGCGGCGCAGATGAAAGCAGCGAAAATCATCCTAGGATGCTCCAAGCGCACAAGTAATGCAGCCGTCAGGGCAAAATTGGGGATCCAATCCCTACGGTCGGGAAGAGACGTAAGGAAACTGACATGGCAGTATCGTATGTGCGGGATGGGAGAGGAGAGGTTGCCGAGAATAGTATGGGAGGCGAAGTGGGCAACAAAAAGAGGGGTGGACAACCCACGGAATGGGTCAAGGTTGTAGAGGACGTATGGAAGGGGTTCGACATCCACGAAGATGAAACGCTGGAAACGGAGGGCCTACAGGGGTTCAAGGAGTAGATATCTGTTGCTTGTGCCGAGAGAGAAGAACAGAGTCTAAGGAAAGAAACCGAGGATAAGGAAGGTCTAGAAGTGTACGGAATGTTGAAAGAAGGTATAGGGTTCAAGGATTACCTACATGGACCAATGGATGCAGGGACAAAGCTTAAGGTCAAATTCAGGACCGGGGACATAGGCCTTTGAGAACGTCGACGACGACATAGGACGGTAGACGACGAAGACGACAAGTTCAAACGTGATTGCGGCTTCGAATGCAAAGACCGTGTTCATGTAGTCGCGGAATGTCAGTTGTACGAAGAGGAGAGGGAAGTGTACATGGCTGAGCTGGGAAAAATACAAGGGAGGTACAGGGAGATGTTTGAGGCATGGAATCGAGAGGAGAGGACGGTAGCTGTACTGGGGAGTAGGAAGGGGTTTGCAAAAGGCGGGAAGGGATATCGTTAGGATAGATAAACTACGGAAGACATTTTTGAGCCACCTTTGGCAAAGTAGGAAGGAACGATTAGCCATCGGTGATTGGTCCTGTAGGAACAATGCTCCGTCCTCTCGAGGACGCGTGGTCAATGGTCTAACCGCTAAGGCATGCAAAACATAAGAGTACGCCCCCCCCCCCCCACTGCCCCGACCGTGTGCTGTTTTTTTTTTTCCTTGCCACGAAGGGTCTCGGACGAGTCCTCCGAGCCTACGTCACGGTGCTGTCCTCCTGGGACTGGTTCTCCGGAGAAGGGGGCGTGTGGACCAGGTCCCTCGAGGTCTACCGGGACGCGTGCCTCGTGGGCAGCGACAGTCAGGAGGTTTCCCTGAGTGGGGTCGACGGGATCACCACCATGGTGCTGCTCGTCGGCAGGATGGGCCTCAAGTCCGTACAGGTTAGAGCCGGCACGGGAATGAAGATCGTCGACGGGACGCTGCAGAGGTCTTCGCAGCAACCCGCGAGGGCGGGAGGAGGGAGGGGGGGAAACAGCAACAGCAACCCAGCCGCCGAGCGGGGGGGGGAGGTCGAAACGGAGACGACCCCTCAGTTTTCGGCCGCGAGACCGGCGCTGTACGCGATGGCCTGGGCGGCAATGCTGGAGGCGTCCGGGTTTGAGGCGGACTCCGGCGGGGACGTTGCCGCCGCGTTCGTGCAGGGGCTCGCGGCCGTCTACAAGGCAGGGGTGGAGGAAGGGGCGGAGCTGTGTCCCGGGCAGGAGGGAGAGGAGGAGAGGATGCGGCAGCTGTTCGAGACGCTGGACGGACTCTTTGCTCCGCGCGTTGCCCCGGCCTCCGGTGGTGGCGGTGGTGCCCCTCAAGCCACCGACCCGCGGCGCGCCGTGTACATGCCAAAGGTAGAATAGAAGAGTGTTTTGTTAGCCGCTGGTGTGTGTACTTGGGCCTACCAGGTAGTTGTTAGGCTTCCCACTAATCCCACCTGATGCTTGGACGTGGAGGTTGTTTTGTTTGCTGTTGTTGACCACAGGAATTTCGCGTGCCCGATCGGCCCGAAACCCTCATGTCATGCAGCCGGCACACACACTTGTGGGTAGGTGTGGCATCAGATGGTACATGTGGCATCAGATGGTCGGACGTTTTCATCATCATGCCCTGTGCACACGCTTGTGTTGTGACAGGTCACACCGGGGCAACGCGCCATCTTAGAGTTCTTGCAGGAGGACCTGCGCACGGGGTGGCGGTTGGCCGTGAGGTTGCTCGCCAAGTACAGCGTCGTCGTTGACGGTAGCGAGGAGGCATCATCCGCGGCGGCGGCGGCGGCGGCGGCGGCGGCTGCCGGGCCTGGCGGTGTGAGCGTTGAGTGCGTGAGGGAAGTGGCCGCTGCCCTGTCGTCCGTGATGTCGAACGGGAGGGTGCCGAAGCGGGACAGCGCTGTAGCCCTGGAAGGGCTGCTGTTCGACGTGTCCGCCCCTTGTGTTCGGAGACTGGAAGGTCTGCGGAAGCACAGGTCGAGGCCGGATAGCGCAGCAGCTGCAGCAGGAGCACCGCCAACACAGCGGTCGGCAGCAGCGATGCCGGGGGCGGCCGTGGCAAGCGCGACTGACGACGCGCCCGTGTCGAGCTGGCCGTCCCTGGATAGCTACTCGGAGGTGATGCAGCTGGTGCTGGCTCTGCTGACCGACGGTCTCCCCAGCGTTGCCGACCCGGCATCCTTCCAGCAGGGCAAACGCGATCAAGAAAGAGACAAGAGCCTCGTGAGCTGTCTCAAGGTGGCCATCAAGGGGATCGGTGCCGTTGCCGAGTGTCGGAGGCTTAAGATGGCTTTCCTGAAGAAGGACTTGTCCTTGGGGTCCCCGCAAGCGGCGGGATCGGAGACGACGACGTCGGGGGGGGGCGGGGGCGCGAACGGCTGCGCACGGGGGTTTCCGCTCCTGTTGCGCGAGGCGTTGATGCTTGTGACGCGCGCGGTGCGCTCCGAGCTGGTTCCGCTGGTGCACAAGGGGTCTGAAGACGCTCGGGTGAGCTTTTTCTTTCTCGTTTTTTTCTTGTTTTTTTTTTTTCTTCCAAAAACACATCAATTTCATCTCTTCCACAGATACGAGTGCGGGACAGATTAGCATAGTGGTCAGCTTCTTTTGTTTCTATGGTTCCCTCAGCAGCATATAATTATGTCTCCCGTGCAAGTTTTGCTTTTGGGACGTAGGAACATGAGCTATTTCAAACATGTCCTTCCTCTTGACTTTTGTTTTGGCTCTGAATCGAGTACAATCCAATCCTTGCTTGTTGGTGCTCTCCCTGTATCATGTTTGTATCGTAGCCGTTTCTTTGTCAACGATGCCGCTGTTCTCGTACAAGCTCTCGGAGCTGTTAAGAAGCCGCACCGTGTGGGCTGCTGTTGTTCGATGTTGCTTTTTCGGAACTCCTGCTGCGGGTATCTTGAGCCGAAGTACTTGTCTTTTGTCGCGCATAATACCCTGATACCTCTACTAGCACGGCGTGTTGTTGGCAACTCGCATGCTCGCATTAAAAAATTGAAGGCGAAGTACCGCAGGAGGGGAGGGTAGAGAGAGGCTCTTCTGTGTGACCACGGGTTGGAATAAACGGCACTAGTGCTGTGAGCGCTGATTTGAAGTGAAGAACAAAAAAAAAAAAAAAAAATGCTCGACCTTCGCGCACTCTTCTCCTTGAGTCGACTGGCGGCAAGCCGCTTATCGTGGCACGCTTCACCCAACGTGTTCTTCCCGACCCGGCAATCACGCGCACACACACATACCTTCGTAGACGTGTGCAAGTAGTTTTCTTCTGTTGCTACCGTTTCTTCTGTCTTTGATCCGGAGAATAGATTAATCTCCCCCATGCCGCCCCCTCACGGGGTCCCAGTTCATGGCATTTAAAAGTGTTTTGTGTTTTCAACCGCACTAAGACTGACGTCTTTTCATTGGTCCGCCGGTTAGCGCGGTCGATGCTAATATTAAAAAACACACACACACACACCTTTCACGGCGTGTTATCACGTTATCACCACAGTTTTTTCCTCGGCCGACCAACAACAGGGACAGGGGCGACGCTTATTTTGTGTCTCTCCCTCGATCCGAAAACTCTTCCTCGCCCCATGGTACGATCCTGCAGGACGCGGCCCGCGCTCTGATCGACACCCTAGGTGCGATCGCCCTCGTCTCAGCCGTGGACGCACCGCAACCACCAACATCAACACCGTCGAGGGAAGCAGCACACAGCAGCAGCAGCAGCAGCGGCGGCAGCAGCGCCAACAACGCTGGTGACACTTCTGCCGCTGCCGCAGATGGCGATTGCGCGGTCGAGAACAGCGCGTCTTCGGACGCGTTCGGTCTTGCCGTACACGAGCTGGCCGCGATGTGCTCGGAGGGTGCTTCTGCTGGGGGCTGGGCGCAGCTTGGTCTCCCGCTCAGGTTCGCACACGATTTTTTCTTTTGCAAAGTACTGTAGACTGCCAACATTTTTTTTTTTTTCTTGTGGAGAACGTGGTTGGATTTTCTCGGTTAAATCCGTTGAATGGATGACTTGTTTTTCTTGGTCGGAACTGGCGTGACCCAGCGCCAGTAGCCTTGACACGGTTTTTCTATCAAGTGTTAGAAGCACGGCGACCACTAGACTACTAGTCAGCTACTATAATAGTCAGCGCTGACGTAGTAGTCTATTATAGTGGTCATCGTGCTTCTCAACAAAAGTTAATGCCCGAGTCCGTCAAGCTTTCTTTCAAGCCACGAACACGTCCCCCCAGGGTTTCCATCCCTGTGATCAGCGCTGTCTTGCCCGGAGATCAAGCCGGTACTAGAGGTTCATCGGCTTACTTTGCGAAGTCTCAATAGACTTTTTTATTCCCATGTATCCGGCGCAAATAACCTTCTCAAATGATAAAATGCTCAAGGGGAGATTCGAACCCCGGACATTAGCAAACAAGTTGGAAAAAGCATGCACTCGGGGATGTTGGGTTAGGGTTGTAGGGTCAGGGAATAGGATCTGGTACCCCCGTCCCTTTTCTATTTCCTCATAAACTTATTTTCTCGCGGAGGCGCCCCCCCGGCCCGTTGCTAAAGGCCGTCCCCGAAAACCACACCGAAGAAACTTGACTACTGTCTGCACCTGGTATGTTTTTGCGTGGTTTGCTCGCATGATTGTGACGTTGTGTTTGACGCAAGAATGGCTTTGTGTCCGGCTGTGCAGGCGACGGGCGTGTTGGCACCTCCTGAGGTGCGCCTGGTCGACCACATACCGCTTTAGGAAGCTAGAAGACGAGGTGGATGCTGCTGATGCTCCTGCCCGAACGCCACCGGAAGACATGGCTCAGCTGAGGTCTTCCCTGGCGCTTAGGGCTGACAGGTTTGGACGGAAATCAGCTGGTAAACATTTGATATGTGTCGATTTTGTGTACTGATATCGCACGTTCACAGCAGTGCTTTTTTTCGCGCGTTTACACGGTAACACGGGATTGCCCTGACTGGCACTTAGCGCCGCAATAATCCAAACTTGCGCTGGTAGGATGCATGGTTACATGGTGTCGGCAGGTGTCTTTTTTTCTGACGGGGGTCTTGGCCTCTTTTACACGTTTCCACCAACTACTGTTTTTCTGCATTTTTTTGTAGTAGTACCCTTTGTTAGGGTAGTTGGCGCTTGACCATGGAAGGAGCCCGATTTTTCATCACGTCGACGTTGCATTGCTGCAGCAATATCTCCGACGACCATGTTGATGATCAGAACAATCGCTAGTGGGTGCTGATGGCGAAAACCTCCCACGAACTAGATGTGTTGATGATCTGAACGATCTCTCATGATAATGTTGATTACGATATCGGTTGATTACGATATCGTATTACAGTCCAACAATTTCTGTCGTTATGACCAGAACAATCTCCCAACGATCGTGTCATCGCCGTTGCCCACGAATCCTGTCGTTGCCGTTGAAGGTGCGCTTGCGTGCTAGCCACCGTGGGAAAAGTGAGGCTACCCCCCGCCCTCCTGACGCCGCGGTTCAAGAAGCTCGTGGCCACCAAGCAGGGGCAGGAGAACCTCCCGCTCCTCAACACCGAAGCAAGAAGAGCTACGACCACGGGATCGCCCGCTCTGGCGGGTGCCGGTGGCGTCGAGGGGGACGGCGAGCAAGCAGGCCCCGAGGATGCCGTGTGGGCTAGCATGGCCGAAGAAGGGGAGGAAAACGCGGCCGTGGACAGCAGCAGCAGCAGCGGCGGCGTCGATGCGACGTCCAGGAGCGAAGCCGTCGAAGGCGGGGGTAAGGAGGAGGGGGGTTCCGCAGGAGGAGGGGGAGGAGGAGGAGGAGGAGGAGGAGGAGGAGGAGGAGGAGGAGGAGGAGGAGGAGGAGGAGGGAGAGGTGGGCGGGAGCACCTGATATTGTTGTGCCGAGCCCTCCTGACGTGCTCGGCGTCTAGGACGGAGCGCGTGCGGAGCAGCACGGCGTTGCTCCTGGCCGACGCCGACATCCCGGGAGCGCTGGATGCCTTGCAGGTAATTCCGTACCACAAGGCGGGCGTTCGTTTCCCAGTCTGTGCATGTACCTGGTCTCGTGTCAGTCTCGCAATGAACAGGCAAATCCTTGCTTGGGACGATATAGGCACGCCCCGCTCGCTTCCTGCTGCTGTATGCATATCATCGGCGCTTGCTGTCTGAAGCGTTCCAGGTTTTTCAGCGGGTAACTTTTTACGACGCCCGAACCAGCGGCATGCTCGATAACTAGAAAGATCAAGAAATAGTTTACTTCGAGAGATAATTTGCCTGCAGAAGGCGCACCCCTCCAGAAGATAGCGCGCGGGAGAGGTAGGCGTGTTTTTCACGGGCGATGTCACCTGCCTGTTCTATGTCGCCCACCCTACAGTACAGTAGGGGTCCCGGAAAAATGCTGGTTAAATCGTCTGGCACAGATGGAATTTTCAAGTCATTTCATACTCTTTGAGTATATTGCCGGTTGCCCGCTTTAGTGCTGGTGGAGTCGGCTGGATCGCACCTGCATTATACCGGGACCACTGCTGTACCTATTTTTTTTCCTCGCTTGAAAGCAGCTCTCACAGCTCACATACAGAGAGAGAGATGTCGTTTCTGGCGGGTAGGAGGTGTTCTATGATAGCTCCAATCCGTGGTGACATGGCACGGAAGGGTTCCTCTCCCTCCAGTCCTCCCCGCTGTGTGGTGCTTGTTGTTGTTGTTGTTGTTGCTGTTGTCTTGGCATTCAAAAACGTTCCGATCTCTCTACAACCCAGTACCTGTCACCTGTCCGTACTGATCCAACATTTGACACAGTTTTTTCTGTTTTTTTTTGTCGTTACTTAAGAGTTCAGCGCTCACAAACGCTTGCCTTTGATTTTTTAACGCGTGCTTCCTTTTTCCGCCTCGTGGGTCCCGTGCCTTGGTGCAGGATGAGGTGGCGTCTTTGAGGCGAGCGCTGCGACAACGAGAAGCCCAGCTCACCCGAAAGGACAGCCAGATGGGTGACCTGCGAGCGCAGGTTGCCGCCGGGGCATTCATGTAGTACAATGCAGTAGTCAGCCGCAACAAGGTCCTTCCCCCTCGCATCCTTGTCAGCACCTGCTCTTGGTAATGGATAAATGAGTGGATTTTTGTGAGACTTCCTCCTGTGTGACCCCAGTTGATTCGTACGTACGCCCAAAGGTGCATTATCGTGTAGACTGGCACCACCTGTTTAGTGCCGGTTGAATAGTGTCAATGCCCGGTATAGTGCAGTGTTTTCGGCGGGCACACGCTGAATTTCCAAGTCGTTGTCAGTGCTTTGAATGGTGCCGTTCAGGTATAGTGCCAGTGGATTTTCTGGGCACATATCGGCACTAAACAGGGACCGCCTCTGTAGATGGGACGGGCGCGAGCAGACGGTTTGTTTGTTGGCATCGGGTTGTATGTATACACTGCTCTAGGCATTTCCATCTATCCAATGATTTTCTCTAGAACCGTGTCTCTTTTCGGATACGAGCCATTCACATCGACGGCGGCGTTATCCCACGCGCTGTTTACCCACCAAGACATCGGCCGTCAAGTGTGTAGAGCGTGTGTGCTACAATACAACTATGCGGTATCGAGCGACCTCCGTTCGATGGCGTCACCCGTTGTATGGGTGCATTCCAAGTCTGGATCTGGAGACAGTTGTGGCTGCGAGCATGCACATGCCGGGTTGGGTTCGGCCAGTTCGGTTCGGTGTATCGTGAGCTACTTGTTTGTCCATGTAACCCGTGACGCAGCTTCTACAGGAGGCAAGGACGACTGCCTTAGGAATTGCGCGGGGGGCCTTCTCGCACTACTCGAAGTTCCTCTTGGGCTTTTGCAGTCCTGCTGACGTGGGGTAACCCTTGGGTCAACGCATCGTAGCACTGGGATGCCGTCCTTTGCAGCTTGTGGCGTTTCGTCTTTTGTGTGGTATCTTTTTTGTTAGTCAAGTCCTCAGTGATTCTCTGGCTTTGTAGTACGTAGTTGTGCCGCCAAGGGACGTGTTGGAGGTCCTTGAACAGACAGCGGACAGGAGCAATGACGGGGATTGATTTTGTTCCTACATCGTCAGCGGCAGTGCTTACCCCCTTTGTTTGTACTGTGCTATGCAACATGCGAGTCATGCAGTCGCAGCGCCTATCTATATAAAGCAGCATTGCAACAACGTCGCGGCCAGACCGTGGAAAACCTTTCTTCGAATCTCTTGTCACACGTGCCACGGCCATCCCACACCACTCATTCCGGACAACAGAAAACTCCGCCAATCCGTATTGTACCATTTCTTAAGATGAAGAAGATGGAACACATGCTGTAATTGTCCAGTGTAGGCACCAACCGGCCTTACAAACGGCCCATCGAAACACGACCGACCCCCGTGCCCCGGCCCCCGAAGCCATGGTGGTTTGGCAAATCGAAGCTTTTATCCTCTTGTAATCGCCACTAGTCTTACACCTTAATTAAACTTGCTGTCTTTTGACGTGATTTGCACTTAGTTGCGCCGCCGCGCCCGAGGCCTTACGCATTTCTTGTCCATACTGTGACGTCCATCCATTGACACTGCTGCTATTGTATATGGTAGGAATTTCCTTCCGTGGTGATGGTGATGGCACAGGCAACACGACCGAACAAAACCAAGGAGACACAACACACGCAACTAACAATTACCATGGTATTTGCTACCGCGAGGGTGCACACGTAACGGAGGCTGAGGGAAAAATAAAAATTGGTCACTCCTTTCCTGGTGGCCGACAATTAATTGTCCTTCCTCTGCTAAGAGTAGACAACAAGTTTTAGTTTTAGTTTTCGCCGTGCTGTTTAATGCCCGTCGCTCACGGCAGTTTTGGCCTACACTAACCCTACGGCCTTGCCTCTCTCTAGACGAAAAAATCTCCGATCCGGGGTGACACAGAAAATAACCGCCCTGCCACAAGGCGCAGCAGTCGCCGGAAAGCAAAAAAACACCCCACCTATGCATACCTACATGGCGAAGTTTTTCCGAAACAATTGAGGAAGCAAATAAACACTGACACCAATCTACGCGCATGTACCTACATGGCAAAGTTTTTCTGGGACAATTGAAGCGCTGCCAGACACAGAAAATGAAGGGGAGGGAGGTAAGAGAGCCACCCAATTTACCTGTATCGCAAAACTTCTCAGAAACAATGAAGCGCTTGCTACCGGAAACAACAGACAAAAAGCAACGGAAAGCAAAGAGAGCCACCCCCACTTCGGCAGCAGGGCTGTTCAGAAAACAATCGAAGAGCTGCCCAACGTAACAAACATAAGGTGAAACTCCAAAACCATGTGTAGCCCGAAACCAAACTGGTGTCACAAAAAACGCTCTACATAGGTAGTGTCTCGTCGACGCCACGGCGATACTAATTGTGTGTGTGCATGCTATCTGCGTTCAACCCATTCTTCACTTTCACGCCACATTGACAATCCTACCCACCACCACCACCATTCTCTTACTCTCCTGGTCTACATTAGAAGCACGTTGGACTGCGTACCACTCCCATTCTTCCAAGGGTATTTTCTGCCTACAAACATCATTCACCCCACTTTTGACCTTGAAACCGGGTTTGGTGTGTACCCTTCAGGGTAGCCCCCCCCCCCCCTCCCCCGGAGGTCAATGATCTAACGACTACGGCATGCACGGCTACGAGTAC